ACATTTGCATGTGTATGCTGTGAAAGTTAAACCTCGAACGTTCTGTCTACATTTGCATGTGTTTAGCTCTATGCACGGTGCTTAGAACTTGCGGGCAGTACCCACGATGATTGGCACTGTATAGACCTGTCACTCTTCTATTTTACATTCACTGTCTTTATCTCTCTCTCATTATTCGTAACCCTTTTCTTTCATGATATCATACTGGCGATTTGTTGGAGATTACTATAGCGTGGAGATTACTCAACGATTTTTGGAGATTCTATTTTACTTATCTGGTGTGTACTGAAGACGATCAAGGATGTTGTGAGGTTTTTTATCAATTTCAAGTACAAGACTACCTACCTGACGTTCCCAAGCTTCAAGGAAGATGTCGCGTTCGTGATCATCGTCGGACAGGAGGCGGCGCAGACACTCATCATCATCTTCCGGATCTCAAGGGAGGAAGTGCTCAAGAAGGGGGAGATCGAAAACTCCGAGAGATAGAAGACATAAGTCAAGATCACCATCGTCACGGAGAAGAAGGGCGGAGTCAGAATCTCCAAGGTGGTTCTCGAGACCATTGTGGGAGCAAAGACGGAATGATTTCCCCCCACCGGGAAATCGAGCGTGGTTTACGGTGGATCTAAATGAATAAATCTTTAAGCTCCGCCGGGAGATGGACAAAGTTCTCGAGACACTGGAGCAACTCACACGAAAGACAAGTGAAAAGCAGCCAGCTCCTCCGAACAAGGAAGACACTGCAAAGAAGCCTGAGCTAACTCCGGACGCGCTTAAGTCCATCATTGATGAAGCACTGAATCCGACAGAGATGAACCAAGGGGGACAAAATCAAGTTGGTCCAAGCGCAACCGGTCAGAAGAATGCAGAGGCAGAAGATAAAGTAAAAAGGATGGTATCGGAAGCGCAAAAGAAGGTCAACAACCTGAAGCTACTAAAGTATGATCTGGCGGTTGTGAAGGGCACGTTGCAGAAGATCAATGAACCAACTCGTACCTGCACTCCGATCGTGTCGTCTTCGGTTCATCTGAACGGATATGTGGGGAACAATGGATGGACTACCAACTTCAGTACATGGTAGCCACAACATTCCGAGCCGAAGCATGCCAAGCATAAGCGCACCGAACAAAAGCAGATTGGGAAATGTAATCCCTCCACATTCCAAGAGAGGACGAACGAAGATTAATCGCAACGCGTCGGCAACGAAGTCGAAGGCAAAACGGAGCATTAATTTCGGGGTCGAACCGATGACGGACATGCAGCTCATTCGTCTTCACTACACGAACCTGAAGGTCTTATACAAGATGCATGACATCAGGTACAAGGACAAGCCGCAAGCGATCTCGGCATTGAGGCAAGTTCCTGTATTGATCGCCTACAAGGGGCGGGACTTCAACCGGGATTTTGATCTTGAAACACAGATCATGCCAGATCCAGATAACATCAAAGTGTCCAATACAACTGGCGGCGACACAAGTGAGGATGATTACGAGAGCCTTAGTACAAGATCAAGCGGGAGTGATGAGTATGACTCATCCGACATATCTTCGAGCGCCGAAGATCTGTCGGGAAGGTAGAAGACACCTCAGCATCAGGCGACCTCACCACGACACAGAAGTGGGAGCAGATACACAGGCTATCAATGAAAATTGAGCAACTAGTTAGTACAAGGAGTTTCACCTTGGTGTAAACATATGTACGTGGGAAGGACAGGAAGACAGCCCGACAAGAGATGGACTGAACACATAAATTTGGCCAAGAATCCAAATAGAGGAGCACAACGGAAACTATACAGTTGGCTGCACAAATTTGGTTGGGAGAAATATGTCATATACCCATTTGGACGGAAGTGAGATTAGAGGTGATAGGGATGAAAACAACACTTATTAGGAGACTGAATCCATTCTTGAAGACAAGGGGAAAAGGCAGAAAGACTCAGAAAAACCGAAGACGAAGAAGGAGAAAGAGGAAGAAGAATGAAAACAATGAGGTGAATCAGAATATACATGTTTTGTTTAAATCAGTTCGATCGGGTTACACTACAAAGGTAACATCAATACTTCAACCGAAAACAATGATTTACTGCACAGTTGGAAAACTATGGAATGAAAAATGGAAAGTAATTAAACGAACATTCGGATCAACAATTGTGAAAATTGACAACACAAAGTTTCAGCTAAAAAAATGCAGAAAACGAATCGAAAATTGATGTATCTTCTATGTGATCCAACTGGTGCATACGAGACCGAAAACAAACAAACATAAAAATATTCTGATTAACTGCTTGAGGGCACCATGGGAACAGAGGGAACTGTATAAATTATTGTTAGATGATATACTGATTCTTCTGTCAAAGGTGGGATCGATTACCGGAAAGAAGCAAAAACGAACAATTAAAGGCATCTTCACACGAATTTTAAAGAAGAAGTTTGCATTCAATATCAAGAGAAGGCTGATATTTAAGATTTCATTTGATGCATGCATTAATCTGAAGCAAGTGAGAAACAAAACAACCGAGTTTATCTCGGAAAACGTAAGTAATAACAATTTGGCAAACGATTTGATAGCTCGGATGCGTGTGATGTTTAAAAAATCAAAGACAATCGGGAAAATATTACACAATCACAGACAGGTGCTTACACAAGCACCGGACTGTAATTGTGCAGTATCCCGACTTTCAAAAATTGAGAACCACATTGCTTGCAGATTAAGTGAAATCACAAAAAATCAGCTCCTGTGGAATGCAAAAAACGTACCCCATATGAACGAAAGACTTGAAAAGTAAAAAATTAAAAGGACAATCATCACTACCATTGCAAGTATACCACGACCACTAAGGAAAAAAAGATAAATTAGAATAGATGTCTCTACTTGCATCGAAAAGAAGAATGATATGGAGATTTTTCTTCACATATCAGAAGTATGAGAAGTAAAAAGAAGATTGAAACAATGTATCCTATCACCATTGGACATAAATCCTGGAGAAACTTTTGTGGAATGCCGTAAAATATGGTATGAGAAGACCCGAAAATTCTTTCCGGAATCGAATCACTACGAAATTATACAACAAACGGAATCTGAGATCACTCAATTGGCCAAAAATACGTATCATGGATGTGGGCTGAAGAAAATCGCAGAATGGGATGAACAGGGATCATACGAAAATGCGTATACAATTCAAAAAAACAAGGATGTCACCAGACGCCGACCAATTGTGTCGACATATAATGAGTCATTTTGGAAAGCATTGAAGGTACTATCAAGAGCTATCAACTTCATGTGTCAAGCATTGAAAGTTGGTTTCTCACTAAAAGGAACGAACCAACTACTACCTAGACTGAAGAAATGCAATCAAGTA